AAAAAAAAAAAAAAAAAAACCAACCTGCAGGACGATATTAAGTCTGATGGAAAAGGTCTTAGACTTTTATTAAGCTGACCTGACCTGAGCAGTATGAGAGAAGAAAACAGAACCATTCTTCCTAATTGGTAATAGTCAATAAATTAGATTGGAGATTATTTTAGGTTTGGAACTCTTCCATCTGTAAGGATCTCCTAGATTGAATTTGCTCATATGCAACTCATAAAGCAGCAAAGTAATTCAGTAATCTTCATACTTGCCCTTTGGGATTACTCAGTTTCTTGTGATGGGAACTTAAATTACTGCATACCAAAATCCTTCATTGCATCCAGCATTTCCTATAACATTTCATATAAATTTGACTGGAAAAATCTGACCTATGTCAGTTATTTACTCACTCTTATTACTACCATACCCTCCCTAATATTAATGTTCCTCACATAGCTTATATTTGTACAGAATTTTACAGTTTACAAAATGCTATTCCATGTATTATTATCTGTCAAAGTAAACTTGCGGAATAGGTCAGGCTGCAAATAGTATTTCTTCTCTTAAAGATGAGGGAACTGAAGTTCATCAAAGTTAAATAATGTCCTCCACATCAGTAGGTGGCAAATGAGCATGATGTTTTCTCTAAACGATCACCATGTGGGGCATGAATTTTCTAGCACGAAAAGGGGAACTTAATGTATCATTAATATTACAAAAGCACACCACAGTCAGCCCAGACATGAAACAGCTATTGCTTTGTTTTACATCGCAGTTTGGTTTTTAAGCATATTTGCCTTAAAGGAAAATATTTGTCTTGTTCAAAAACTATTTGATTCAGGTTATATTGAAAAGATGTATAAAATTATGTTTTCTTCCATAGCTTTAGAAAAATGAAACAGATTTCCTTTTTAGAAAGGTAATGTATTCACTACAACTCATATTAACATGATGTTAATGCTGGCGACGTGCTAGGCCCTGAAGAGAATGGTAGGCAAAGCAGGCGTAGATGTTTACGGAGCTGCACTTGAGCAGGGGAAATGAGCCAGCCATTCAGAGCCTTTAATTTATGATAGCACTAGTGAGCAGCACGAGAGCATAGAGCAGAAAACGATCACTTCTGCTTGGGAAGAAAGGGCTGTTTTTCATTAAGGAAATAGCAGTTTGACGGTTGTGAAGGTCGGATTTAGATAAACACAGAACAGGGGTGACAAGGCGTGGGAAGTAAACGGTTTGAAGCAGAACCGGAGGACACGCGTGGGGGTTAGGAATCTCGGGGCGTCACAGCGCAGCACAGAGCTGGCAACAGGGCTATGGGGCACCGTACTGTAAAAGTCACCCATGTCACCGGCAAGGAGTGTCACAGATCGGTTACAATATATGCTAGGCATTGGCATTTCATTTTCAAAACATATTGAGAGGTCCAGTGTACTTCACATGATCTCAAATTTCGATAAATTGTTCTAATTGTCTTCCGCCAAATAGGTTAGTCTTGTCTATCTCTCTAATTATTTTGTAATATTAAACATTGAACCCAGGGCCTCTCTACTGAGCTCCCTCCCCAGACCTTTTTATGTTTTTGAGACAGAGTGTTATTAGCTCACTAAATTGCCCAGACTGAGCTTGAACTTTTTGACTGTCCTGCCTCAGCCTCCCAGTGTGTTGGGATTACAGGTATGTGCCACCACAACCAGCTAAATAGGTAGAGTCCTTACCTTTAAGAGTATTAGAGAAAAATTTCTGACTTTGAAAATGTGTAAATGGTTTCAGCATATTTAGGGAATCCGGTTACGGGACAAGGGAGTCAATAAAGCAGATAAAAAAATATAAAGTCAGGAAGGCCATTGATGCATTTATATATTAAATTGTGACATTCTTTCTGGATGTGTAATCTTATAAACTTCAAAGCCTAATTGTATTATTTCTCCTATCAATGGTTTGATATTTTGATAAAAATCCACTATATTATTTCTCTTCCCTTAATGGCATTTTAAAAGCCTCCTTATTTTATATATTTAGAAATTTAATTAATGTGTTGTTTACTTCTGTTTCTTTTAATAAAGATGCATGTCATCTGGAAACTTCTAGTTAACATAAATTCCATTTTCAAGTATTCCCTCAACTAATGTTAATTAGCAGGGCTTCTGACTGTCTTAATCATTTCCTGATTATGTAAACACCTTGTTTAAGGTTTTATCCTACAGGACATTGAAGCAAAGTTTGCTCAGCTCCATCAGAATTGCCCTTTGTAACAACAATCCATAATTTATGCATTCAAGTGAATATATTTATTTCTTCAAAGTAGCCTCCTTGAGAGGCTCCACACTTTTTAAAACATTTGAAAACCCTTCTTTTCGAGGCTGTTTTCATATTCGGTTGATACACCATGCAAAGAAATTCAGTATTCCGTATTTGTCACCCTTATCTTTTACTTCAAAAACTCAGCTCCAATTAATCGACCTTACTCATCATACTTTGCACTGTTTGCTTAAACAGCACTTCAGAGGGCTGAGACACTAGCACAGAGGATGAAAAGGAGCCGGAAGTTCGGGAAGCAGTTTTAAGAAGCGGATCCTCTTGGTAGATGGAAGCCACGCCCCACCCCCATACAGTTCTAAATTTTTAAAGCAATCAAAATGACATTCTACCTACAGCGCAGGTCTTACATTCTGAATTAGCACTTTGAAAGCTATGCCAGGGTTTTATTATTCTACTTCAACATTTATTCCTGAGTTAAATTTTATTAAATACAAGCTTTTTGCTAACTAGATTTCAATGGCTTAGTGACAGATACATATTACTGTGCATGATAAATTCATGTTTATGTAGGAAATGTTAAAAAATCAGACAAAGTCTGAAAAAATTTAAATCATCTTTGAGCCCAACATAACTTGTTATCTCACTAATTTTTCACACACTTTAGTGAAGCAGAAACTTATTATGTACACTTTTTTATTGTTTTCAATTCACGTGTAATCCATATACTGTGCAGTCTATAAATTTTATGAACTTCTACTATGAATAACTTTGTATAAACATAACACCTATCAAAATATAGAATATTTCCGCCACTCCAAGAGGCTCACTTGAACCCTTAATCGGCTGGTAAGATGGTCACTATATATCCAAATATACACAGCATTCTTAACCTCTATCAACTGAGATCAGTTTTAGCTGTTTAAAACCTCATCTAGAGGGAACCATACACTGTTATTCTG